AAAAAAAAAAAAAAAATAAATAAACACATCTTAGTAAAACCAATACCTACTCAGCTTCGCATCGAATAGTAATATATAAATATTACTGAATTGAATATTATAATGTTTACTTAGGTTTTCAAAACGGAAAATAAGAATTTTTTTTAGACAACTATAATAACACCGTTTTTTTAATATTGTCAAAATTGGCACTTTCAAAATTTATATTTAAAATTAACATAACATGGTATAAATTCTATAGCATTGGGCTCGGTACCGTCATGGGCGCCCTAAAGCAATCATATATTTGGTGGACTTATTTATCATTTGTAGACATTTTATTTACTTTTTATGAAATATACATATTATATCTAAAGTTGTATACTTATTACATACATAAAAATATATATTAAAGCTGTTCGTAATAACTCCTTATCTGAACAATATATGCAAAATAATATATTGAAATATTATATAATTTATTTATTTTTTTTTTGTGAAATATAACTATTATTGTTGCTATTTTTAGCTTCAATGTGAAGCTGAGAAAGTATTTTATAATTATTCTTGCTCATTGTAAAATATAATAATTGCTATCTATAATTAAATTAATACCATATAATTACTGTATGAGTAGCCGAATATATGATTATCAACAAAGTAAAAATATATTGGTTTCCTAATTTATTTGTAGCTTTGATCCTGTCACAATGTCCGTTGTTCGCGCCACCACGGCCCGTCAATTTTTTACTTGTTATTGATAATATCTTATCGTTGATCATTTATCGTATAAATGCAATAAAAATTACATTGATCTTAGGATCTATTTAAAATGTAGGTATAAAATATTTTGTATATACAAAAGTAAAAAAAATATATTTTTAAACAAAATGTATTTTGTTATGCAAAAAAAAATGTTTTTTGGGTGCCCCTCAAATGTGCGACGCCCTAGACCTCCATTGCCGTCCTCTTAGTACAGCCCTGATTGTACTACATTATATTAAAAACAATAAAAATATGTAAATATTATAAGTCACAAGCTTAATAATTAGCCCTTACAGTAAAGCATGATTCTGAACCTCCACTTAAAAATTCTTACTATATACATAAAAATAATATTAATTTATGAATTAAGGTTGTTTAGAAAACTTTTTCATTTATATTCGTTAATTTTACACCAATTTTTAGGCAGTGATTTACACTGGAATTTTGTAAAGGAGGTTTCACAACAGATATAATTTTATATATATATATATTTTTTTTAGCTTATCATCTAATAAAATGTTCCCTTAAGTTTAATTTAAAGTAGTCAATAATAATGACAATTATAATATTCTAATTTATGCTAAAGATATCGTACTACTTAATTATTACAAGTCCACTTAATTTTAACAATAAGGCAAAACTATTTAAAAAAAAGCCTCAACCCACTCATACTTTACCTTTCTATTATGAAATCCTAGTTACACCACTTCGTAGGAAAAAAAAATTAAATTAAACAAATTCAAAGGACTATGATCTTCTTACATCCCTCCTCTCAAAATTAGATACAACGTAAATTTTACTACATGTATAGTAGGGTGGATCAAACGAAGTCGATCTTCGAAATTTTAAAGAGAACCATTTTAACTTATATACATGTAAATAGGTGTTTTGGGAAAAATTGAGATTTTTAAAAAAATGTTTAATGGTCGCGTAAATACTATAAAAAACAAAAAACGGCCTATGTTATTCAATTTTTGTCCAAATATTATGATTAGTATACCAAAATAGTTTGATTTTTACTGTAGAATATAAATTTTTTAGTTTAAAAATTTTTATTACATTAATATTATATTATTTATTTATATTGGATAGCGTGAATATCATAATTAGAGTCATTGCATGGCATATTTCTAGTAGGTCTTAAGTAAGCTTAATTTTTTTTTTATGCAGTTTGGCTGAATTTTATGTATATTATAAATAGGAAAAAAAATGAGTCACTAATCTTAAAAACTTTTATCTTTTTTTAAAAATAAAGTGTAAGCTAATATATATGATATTATTGAAAATATTTTTAAATAACAGTTGATTATTAAATACTTTTAAATTATTTTTTTTTTTATCAAATAATTCATTTATATAAATTAAATTTGATTAATTTATATAATTATTTTAGTATTCTTATTTTAAATTCTTCAAGATTATTATCTTTATATCTGGAGTCGATCGGGTAGTTCTAACGAGAATTTTATTATATTCTGATGTTTTAGTACTAAAGACTGGTTTATAAATAAATAATTTACTTTCGTTGTTTAAAAAATTGGTCTTCAAAGAATTAGCGATTGAAATATCAAAGACAATATCAAATGACTTCAGAAATGTAATTTCTTTTCTCATTAAAATTTCGAAGATAAACTTTTTTTGATCCACTCTAATGTATAGTTATAATCTATAGTTACACGTTAACATTAATAACAATCACGCCTAATTTACAATATGAATTATTTTTTGATATCTTCATACGAGTTAGTCTAATGTGACAATTTAGTACTAAATACAGGCTATAAACATTCAATAAATATTATTCATTCAAAGAAGTATAACATGTTTATATTATATTCCATTAAAATATATTAAAATTCAGAACAATTTTTATTGTTTTATTGTTATCAATGTAACAATAATCAAATTTTAAATAATATTTTAATAAAGCTTACTATCGCTTGAAATTGTACGTTAAAGTTTTTGAAAGTCCATGTCCATAGGGAGATCTATCCTCCTCATCTTACTATTTGCCCGCCTTTGGTCATAATGCTCTGATCAGAAGCGTTCTAAATTAACGCGTTCTAATGTTTTATTCTTGGGCATTATACTTAACAAAATATTTTATTATTCCATCCTAAATATGTCTTTACCATATACTTATTTTCATAAAGGGAGGTTCAATTCTCCATATCCCCACGCGAGAACGATTTTCTAATACGCCTTTGATTTTAGCAAGATTTATTAAAAATGATCTTTGTTCAAATTATTTTATTGTGTATTGAAACGTACAATAGAATAGGTGGTACTGAAATATTGGAAATATGAAAGTTTTAGATTGTGATTATTGCATCACTTTTTTAATGGCTTAATTCAATTTTTAAACGATTTTAGAAATCACTGTCTATCATTGAACAATTAAATAAAGACCACAGTGATTTTACTTATTATGGTATAACAAAATTCTCTGATTTATCTCCAGAAGAATTTGTATCAAGACACTTATCAATAAAAGGAAAAAAGAAAAAAGAATTGCGTGATACAAAATTTAAACGGTCAATAACTGCAGTTACACTTGAAACTATTGATTGGTAACAATTTATTTTATCATTTATATATATTTTTCAGTGATCTTATAAAATTCAGAGGAGAACAAAACATTATTTTAAAATATACTTCAGGAAAAAATATACTAAAATAAAAAGTTCCAATAATGTAAAATATTCTAAAATATACTTTACAATATAAAAAATTTCATAAATAATATATTTTTGGAAGAAATAGATCAATAGTAAAATGATTACGATATTATTACTGTAAAAAAAACGAGTAAATAATTCTTCTTCTTCTTCCTTGCCTTAATCCCAAATACTTGGGGTCGGCCACCCTTATCCTAAACTTCCACTTAACACGATCTCCCACATCTTTTACGCTCACATCAGCTATCCTCATATCAAATTCAATAACATCTCTCCATCTCTTTTTTGGTCTACCTCTTCTTCCTTCAACATTCATTTTTACAACTGTTCTTACGGCTTCCTATTTTTCTCTACTCATAACATGACCAAACCATTTAAGCCTATTTTTTCTCATCTTATTTACAATTAACGCTTCACCTTTACTCTTATATGTTCGTTCTTTATTCTATATTTCTAGTCACTCCACTCATCCATCTAAGCATTCTTATTTCTTCTATACTCATTATATGCTCTACTTTCTTGGCAACTGCCCAACATTCTGAACCATACATCATAGCTTGTCTCACTACAGTCTTATAGAACTAACCTTTTAGCCAGATTGGAATTCTTTTATTACATAATGAACCAGACGCTCTCTCCACTACAATCATCCACATTTAATCATCGTCAATACCACAGTTCTTTTGCACAACTGATCCTAAATACTTTAAACTTTCCACCTCTCCTATCACGTCTTCTCGCATAATTGTCATTGATCTCCTCATTTCATATATCTAGTGTTCTTCTTTGTCAAACTCATACTCAATATATTCTGTACATTTTATTAAATTAAAAATATGTGTTCTCATTTAAAAAAACAAAGTTGACACCCTTACCAAGCATAAGGAATGAACTTAAAAAGTATTACATAGTTAATAATTCAAGAATAATGTGTAACTAAAGATAATAATAAAAAAAAATGTTTAAATTATTATTATTCTGTAAGTAATTGAGTGGGTTATGNAAAAAAAAAAAAAAAAAAAAAAAAATGTTTAAATTATTATTACTCTGTAAGTAATTGAGTGGTTTATAATAAAAAAAATTACTCTGTATATTCATTATCAATTATTATATTAGATCAACCTAATGCACGTCCATGGAGGGAAATATTATAATTCATAAATCTCATAAAATAATATAATAATTATATTTACTAATAAATAAATGTTTCGTGACCCTTAAAATTCAATCAAACCTAATTAGCATACAATTTACAGTATTATATATAAAAAATAAAAACTTTATTGGATATCTTATAAATAATTTTTTTTAAGGCGAAATGAAGGAGTAGTTAACTCTGTTCGTAATCAAAAGACATGTGGCGCATGCTGGGCAATTAGTGTTGTCGAAATAATTGAATCTGTTTATGCTATAAAAACGGGATCACTAAAGACATTAAGTGTTCAAGAAGTGGGTAAAAAGTTTAAATTAAAATTAAGTGAATCTAAATGATTTATTGTTAAATTTACTAGGCTCTAGACTGTTCAGATGGTATTAATCAAGGTTGTTTGGGTGGAAGTCCTGCAATTCTCCTTCAGTGGCTTGTTAAAAATAATATTACTTTACAAACAGAGGAGCGCTATCCTACTATTTATGAAAACCAAATTTGTAAAATTAACAAGTAAAATAAAAAAAAAATTAGTTGATATTAATAATTAATAATTTCAAATATCATTTTGAGAACTATTTATTTAACTTTATCAAAATTAATTATATTCTCCGAAGCTTCATTTAAAAAACGAACATTTTTGTTCTATAAATTAAGTATTACAATATTTATTCTTTATAAAATTTTACTTTCAATTTGAACCATTTGACATCTCGGACGATATATTTATAAAAAAAGATATTTAAAATTAATACTTTGAAAATATTTTTTATTATTTTGATAAGAAATAATATTCTAGTAAAATTTTGATATTATGGAAAACGATTGATGCTTTTTAAATATACAATTTTGTTACAACTTTTCCCTTTTTATTATATTGTAGCTGTTATCAAATATTATTTTTACTGTTTCATTACTGTTAATAGTAATGATATAAATTTCTGTCCATATATCAATATAAACAAAATCACTTTTGAAATCTTCATAATATTTTGCATTTAATAATTTTAAACTTGCAAGTTTAACTAAAAAACATTAAAAGTTCAACATTTTTAAATTATAAACTTTTATAAAAATTAACTTTAAATCCTTGTAAGGTATTTTAATATAAAAATGTTACAGAAATATAAAATCAAAAATATGAAATTCAGAACTTTAACACAAAAATAGCATATTTTTTAATACGGTGGCCATTTTTCATCACGAAGGCAATAAAAAGTTCGAAAATTTTTTTTGATGTTAAAGTTTATTACATAAGCTTTAATTTAAGATATATATTTAAGTGTCATTATTTCCGAAACATTTTCAAATGTAAAGTTGAAAAAGTACATTTTTTGTGGAAATGTTGTCATTTTGAAATCTCTCCTGTGAGCAGGTAAAGGATCAGATTTAAAAAAAATATATACTAAATGATAGGTAAATACCCAATGTATCTATAAAACAATTTTTTTTGTTTTGATCCATACATTTTTGAAATAGTTATGGCAGCTTTATGTACAAAAAGATAAAAAATGTTGAAAATTACCGATTTTTTAAATTGTAATTTTTTGGGGACTTTCCCCCATTTACGGGGAACGACGGAAATTTTTTCAATTTTTGTAGGTAATGTCTTCGACTAGATACGATTTGTGATCATTTAAAATATTTTTCATCAATGTCCGTCCAGTGAAAGTTGAAAATAAGTGGTAACAGATACACACACAAAAAAAAAAAACACATCATAGTAAAATTAATGTCTTTTCAGCTTCGCATCGAAGCTAAAAAATTAAGATGAATCTTTTGGTTACAAAATAATGAATTGTTATGTAATATTTTCTAGATCGATAAATGAAAGCGATGGAATTAGAGTAGTTTCATTTATATCACTGAAGTGAGTAAATTTAATTATGAAACTAAAAGGTTTAATAATTTAGGAAATAATTAACAGTATAAATGTAATTAAAAATAAATTTTGGTGTTTTGTTTGACTTTGAGTTCACAATTTTTCTCATTATCTTTTACATATATAAAGTAAATTGTACAGGTTTGTATTCAACTTTTTTGTGACCCAGTTGGATTTATAAGCCCTTAATTAAATATTGATACAGAAGGCAATAGCCATAGTGACATTATTATAGGAGCGGTAAAATTTAGAAATTGTTAAAAATGTAAAAATTTATTTACCTGATGAGTAGCAAAGAACAATTATCACAAAAACTTTTTTCTAGAAAAATATAGAAACACTTTTAAAGAAATGAAATTTTTAAAAATCATAAAATGTTTAATACTTTTATATTTGTGTTTTATATTCTTTAACTGTTATAAACTATTTTCGTATTTGTTATAGTTAATATTAGAAATTTATTTAAATTATTTTTTAACTTTAATTTTAGCCTTTCTTAAAGTACAGAAGAATACTTACATTAAATATTTTTTAATGGTATCGATGCATGGACGAAAATATGAATAAAATTTAGGAAAGGGCTGATAAATATCATATTATTTGAATAGTTAAACAAAATTTTCTTATTTCACTCACATGCACTTTAATAATAATAGTAAATTTATTAATGAAAAACTCCTAAATTTCTGAAACTTAAAAAAAAAAATTTTCAGAAAATTTTATGATACTTCACCTAATAATATTGAAAAATCATATAGGTTATTCAAAAAGTAAAAAAACATGTCAATCATTTGGAACAATTAAACTAATATTTATATTATTCTTTACTTACTGAACTCCTTATACATTTTTCATGAATTTTAATGTGAGAATTTGACGAGTTCAAATAACTATTTTATATTTTGTAGTCATTACTAATATTATATTGATTCACGCGTCTTTTATGTTTGTAGTTTATTTAACCGTGAAGATTTATTATTGTCGTATATCATGAAAAGTCCTGTTGCCGTAGCCGTAAATGCTATACCATGGCAGTATTATGTTGGTGGAATAGTTCGTCACTGTGAAAATAATTTAAGCTCACTTAATCATGCTGTGGAAATTGTTGGATACGTATTAGGAGAAAACCCTTACTATATAATAAAAAATTCTTGGGGCACTGATCACGGCATTGATGGATATATTTATGTAGGGATTGGCGATAATGAATGTGGCAAGTTTTATTAATATTAATAGTTTGATTAATAAAGTACATTAAAAACTGATTTTAAAATTCAAAATTATTACGATTTTAAAAATTATAATAAATAAATTATCACTGGTGTATCACAGTAGAGATATGGGTGTCATATCTCCCCCAGAACGAATCCCTAATTATGTTACTATGAAACATCATTAAAAAATTATTTAGAGTGCTTCTTATATTATAAGTAGAACTAGGAATTATAAGGACTTATACATTTTGTTTGAGTCATTTTCATGTTTTCAAGTCAATTGGTAAAAATTTGTACTGGTGATTGTGTACAACAATAATTTAACAATATTTATAAATACATATAATTTCTAGCCCAAATTATAAGCAATACATAAACTATTTAGGATAATTAATGAAATTATTAATTTTTATTTTTTAGGTATTGGATGGGAAGTTGACGTTGTATTGAACGTAGTATAATTTTACGTTACATTGATTTTGTTATAATAAAATTAAATATTTCCCAAATACATTGTTTGTCAATATAATTATTACAATTTAGATAAATCTAAATTCCTATTGCTATTAAAAATAATTTCACTTGAATGGAAACAATTATATATTGTACAAATACTTATACAATAATATGACTTTTAATTATATTATCCTGTATTATATATAACAATTAAATTTGAAATTATATTATATATAAGGCCATAGATAGATTCATATGGTGATAGAACAACACTGGTAATAAATTAACTAAAAAGGTTCTATCAGTAACTTAACTTATGGTTGTTATAACGAGAAAACTTAAATATGCTCTTTAAGTATTACATTAAAATATATAAAATATATACAAATAGAATAATAATGTATATAGTCATTTTTTTATCTACTATAATTCTGTCTGAAGCGAATTTTTCAAATTTAAACACAAATAACTCAGTAAAATTTGACAAATTAGAATTGCAAATCGAAAATATAAAAAATAATCATGCAAGTAGTAAGTATTATTTAGTAATTAAATTAAATACGTATAAAATCTTTTTTTAAAAATAATTTTATAGAATATCACGTCATTAAGTTTGATATAAAGTCCAATTTGATAATACTGAAAAAAAAAAATTATAAATACATTATTAATTACATTAGAAAACTAGTTTGAGTAATTTTGAGCACCACAAAATTAGAACTAGGTTGTAGTATTTCTTGCGAGCACCCTTTTTAATCTATTAATAAATATTTTTTTTTAATCTAAGAATGAAAATCTAATTGAAACCATAATTTAGAAAATTATACTTATTGTTATATACAATATTTTTAGGATGAGGATTTTAACGCCATCAATAAATTTGGCTTAATATAAAAAAAATATTAGAAGGAAAAAATTCAATAAAAAATTATAAAACAAAAAACATATTATAATTCAGATCTGGCATATCAGTTCAGGGATTAGTGATCACGATTATATGTATGATAGTGATTTAACATCACTATCATAAAAAACGCTTCGATGCAAATCTATTAAATTTCTCAATAATTTTTATAATTGTAATTTTAATTATTTATATGTATTATAAAATTTTACATAAATATTATGAGTTTATTAATATATTTGCTTAATTGAAAATAAAGTTTTTTTGTTGAAAAATTATCGGTCAAAAATTATTTATTAATTTTATATTTCATTATATAAATTTTAATTTAATATAGTTATAAAGGACATATACGTTCCGAAACATAATAAAAAAAACCCAGCACAGGGGGGTCGCGGCACAGTGATGACGTGACATATTTGGATCAAGTATAATGATATCTGACAGTGATTAAAATCACTATCAAAAAAAACGCTTCGATGCAAATCTTTAGATAGTGTTTAATTTTAAAAAATAGGTGGATTATTCCAAAAGCAACATGATCTGCTAGTTCATTATTAATATCCTGATTCAGATAAAGTATGTCAAATGAAAAAGGGATTATTAAAAATTATTATTTCTCATAAAAAAATTATGTTGATCCATACACTTTTCAATAAGTTATATCATTATAAAGTTAAAAATAAAAAAATAAAATCGAGAATTTTCACACAAAAATAGCATTTGGTAGCCAATTTCACCCTGAAGACAAAATAAAGTACGAAATTTTTTTTTCAATAATAAAGTGCATTACATTAGCTTTAATTTATGATATATATAAGTGTCAGACTTTCCGGAACACTTTCAAAATTTAAGTTGAAAAAGTCAATTTTTTCTGAAAAAGTTGTCATTTTGAATCCCCCCCTGTGGGCACGTAAAGAGTCAGATTTACAAAAAAAATATATCAAATGATAGGTAAAGACATCAAGCATCTATAAAAAAATTATATTGATATGTTCATTTTTGAAAAAGTTACGGCAGTTTTTAGTAAAAAAAGTTGAAAAATGTCGAAAATTATCGAATTTTAAATTTGTAATTTTTTTGGAGGTTTCCCCCATTTACGGGGAATGAGGGAAATTTTTTTCAATTTTGGAGGGTAATGTCTTCGACTAGATACGATTTGTGATCTTTTGACGTATCGTTGAAAGAAATCCGTTCGGTGAGAGCTGAGAAAAAGTGGCAAAAGTCACAAAAAAAAATAACAAAATAAAAATAAAAAACACATCTTAGTAAAACCAATACCTTCTCAGCTTCGCATCGAAGCTAAAATTGAGTAAAAATGTAAGTGTAATGTTTTTACGCATATAAAAAAAAAATTCTTGCATGTGTGGATAATTTATTTTTAACTATTTTTGTACTTAGGTTTTTCATTGAATTTTCATGAAATGCTCACCAAAAATATCTTAATATCTCTTTTTTAGTGTATTAAAATTTTAATTTATAATCATTGTTCCTAAAAAAATTTTATAGCAGTTTTTAACCAAAGAAAATTTTTTTTTGAAAATGCCCTTTTTTACTGAAGTATAATTTTGAAATATTTTTTTAATTTTTAAAATTGAGTGGATTTATATAAACTTTTGGCAATATCAGGTTCAAAAAGATTAAAATATTTTCATGTATTAATTTTTAAAACCGGTCAAGTGAAAGTTGAAAATATCCACGGGAAACAAAAAAAAACGCACACCACGGTATAACCTATCAACTTTCCGCCAAAGTTAAAAAATGTTTGAAATTTTATATAAATTTACTGGAAGTTTTTAAGCAAATATAAGAGAAAATGTTGCTAAATACTGATAAAAATAATTTATTTGAGTACAAATTTTTGATACTTAATGTCAAAAATACACTACCTGTTTTACTTTTACATACAGATAACAATGTGTATATTAAGAGTATTATACAGACGTATGGGAATTTTTAGATTGTAGATTTTATAGTGTTTAAAAGTTTATATCAAGTATAATTTTTACTTGATTTAGTAAACACTGTAGGTCAATTAAAAATTGATTAAAATTATTAACTTTTTTTAGAAATTTCATTGAAAAGTGAATGGCTAGAAGAATGTAAATGTGTTATTACTTCGGATTGTTTACCTAAAACAAATGATACATCCATTGACATACGAATAGTCACTGTAAGTCATAACTTAATAAAAATCCATTATGTAATATTATGAATCACATTTATTTTAAAGAAACCTGATACATGTCCTACTGGAATGATATGGTGTTGCTCAGATCCCACGATTGAAAATCCATTGTTAACATGTGGCAAAATATCACCACAAAATATAGAAGGAATCAAAATTCAACCAGATCAAGTATAAACTAAATTCAATAAATAATTACAAATATGTACAACACAATTCATTATACGGCTAAAGTAGTATTATTATTATTGAAATTAATTTACTAACTAAAATAACTATGGAATGAAGTTTTATTGAATAAATAACTCGCTAGAAATCATAATTATGTGTGATGAAAAAATAATGTTCATTTGTTCAATAATATCTATAGATAATAGATATTATCTATAAACCATAGCTGAAATCATCAAATGTATTGAGGAAGAAGTGGGACAATTGATAATTTTTCCCAATTAAAAAATATTTTCATATCGTAATATATAATTTTTTGAACTTTGAGTTGGGCTAATTATAATTTTGTGGGAGACTTAGTCCTAAAATGTACTGATTGTATAGAATTGTGTATATTTTGAATAATATAAAAAATAAAAAAAATTTATTCATAAAAGCTTATTTTTTTTAATATTCTTTAATCAAATAATAATAATAATGTTCAGTCTTACATCTTTCTAAATCCCGAACTTATCATGCTACAGAGCGTGGTGACCCTCTTTACATGTTAGGGAGTGAAAGATGGTTCTTGGATAGACTATTATGAACGTAATGGTTATAATGGCTTGCACAAGAGACCAGACACCATCAATGAGAAAATCACAAAATAAATCTCGTTGGTATCGTGGGGATCGAAGCCTGTACCCCGTGCGCCAAAACATACGTTTCCTTAGTCCGACTCCCTTAATCAAATTATTTAATTAGTTCTTAATTAAATTTAAAAATCTATCATTAATCTTATAAAATAGTAGATAAAATCTAATGATTATATGCTGAATTTTTAATATTTCATTAGATAACGGCATTAAATTTGTTGACATAATCCTGGTTGTTATAAGACAAAATATTTTTTTCCATTTAAATATCTTTTTTTTTTATTATAAGCCTTAAAACAATGAATGAAAATTAAAGTAATTGTTATAATTTTATTTCTTATATGATGAAATATATTTTTTTTCAGGCTAATTTTGGGGAATTTCCTTGGCAAGCTTTAATTTTAACAATCAGTAATTCGTTCGTATCGAACGGAGCATTAATAAACAAAAAATATGTGTTATCAACGGCTCATTTTTTAATAACCTATTCCAAGTATGTCACAATTAAATATTAGCTTGAAGAGGTGTTAGATTTTCTAAATTTATTAAAATGATATGAGATGAATTCGAACTTTAAATAAGACTTAATCAAATAAAAAATAGATTTTACACAAGCTTTATAAAAATATAATCTGGATTTAATGGTGTATTTAAATTTATATATTAGAACTTAAAAGACTATACATGAAATTATTATAGAAATGTTTGAATTCAAAAAAAATTTAGTCGAGACTTTCATTTTAGTGTTTAATATATTCATGTTATGACAATTAAAAATATTAACATAAATTCTTACATGCCTTTTTTAAAACGCTATTCCGTCTTGAATGTATCGTATAATTTTTGAGGTTATTCCGGTTCTAATAATTTCAATAGGTTCTGGTTCATCGATCTGTGAATTATTTTACTATTTCAAACTTTGATCGTAACATTATTAGGGTATTACAATTAGGTTTCAATTGTATAGCTAAATTGTGGCGGGTAAAATAATTTTTTGCCTCTTAAAATGCATTAGTTTTGTTCTAAAAACTTTTTAGAATAATATTAAAAACTTAAAAAAATAACTAGTAATTTTTGTTTTTGATGTATAATTTAATTAAATTTTATCAGTTGATTGGCCGATAAAAGTCTGAAATCTCGATAGAATATTACTCAATCCTTTTTGTTAAACAAAATAACGATTAATAGCTAATTGAATTATTTTGTACATTTTATTAATTGATAAATAATTTGTTTGTTTTAAATTTTTAAAAAATGTTTGCAAGTGTTATCTATAACATGATATGTTATGTTATAATATTAATGATACTTTGTAGGAATATAAGTGCATTGAAAATTCGTCTGGGTGAATGGGATATTTATCGAAATATAGAACCATTTCCACATATTGAACGATCCATTAGTAGTATGACAATACATCCGGATTATATTTCGTCAAACTTGCATAATGACATTGTTGTTATAATGCTTTCTGAGCCCGTTATCACTTCAACTTACATAAGTCCCATATGCTTACCTTATAATATGTTAAATTTTGAAGTCATGCAATTTAATAAATGTCGGGTTTCTGGGTGGGGGACCGAGAATTTTGAACGACCACAATATCCTGGGATATTAAAAAAAGTCAATGTTCCTTTATGGTCGCAAGATAGATGTGTTGAGAATCTAAGAACTACAAGACTTGGATCTAAATTTCAGTTGCACGAAGGATTTATATGCGCCGGGGGCGAGGAACATGAAGATGCATGTACGGTAAGGAAAATTATAAATTCACGTCTAAAATACAATATATTATCTTCTATGAATCCCAAAATAAAAATAATATTTTTATTTGTGTTAACTTAAAAGTACTTTCTCAAAAATAACATTGGTCATCTTGTAATTTTGAAAAAAGTTGCAACATTTAAACAACTTAATAAACACATATATTTTATTTTAAATCATGGTATCAATATCTTAAATTCGTTCATGTTGTTTTTATCACAAACATTTGCAGATATATCTATAAAATTGTAGTTATACCCAAAAGCTTAATTAACGATTAATTATTTTTAATACATATAATATGAGCTATTTCTTCATCATTAAAGTATATGATTTATATATCCTGTATTCCTAGTGTAATACATGTTCTAAATAATTAAGCTACACTCTAAATAAAACAACGTATAGTAACATCAATTTATTTTATACTTATAATGTAAAGGGTGATGGTGGTTCGCCATTGGTATGTGAACATGATTCAGTAACTATTCTTATCGGTCTTGTATCATGGGGAATAGGATGTGGAACAGCTTCAGTACCAGGTGTTTATGTAGATGTCAGCAAATATTTACCATGGATTGAAAACACAATTACTACTATGATTTAGAAGACTTATAAAAGATTTCTTACAATATTATTAAATAAATAATTATTTTATTAATTTATTATATATATATTACATTTATTATAATTATATACTTATAATCATTGTTATATTGAATGATAAATCTTAAGGATTTTAAGACAGCTCGTCAATATGTTGACTGCCTAGGTGAATCCACTTTTTGTTCAAAGATAATTAGATTTAAATAAAAAAACAAAGGTTATTGCAACAAAAAAATTCAAGCATTGCTAGTTATTTGTTGAGGGTACAACCCCTTACCCCCTGGTTGTACCGATAGTATACATTGTTTACGAAAGAATAAAATTAGACAATCTGACACTTGCGAAACACTGGTAGCCAATTCTTCTTTTTCCTCGCATTAATCCCCTAACTACTTGGGGTCGGCCATATTTATCCTTAACTTCCACTTAACACGATCTCCCACATCANATTCTTCTTTTTCCTCGCATTAATCCCCTAACTACTTGGGGCCGTCTTCATATTGCATTTAATATCATCCCTTCATCCCTTTTGGATCTTCCTCTACCTTTTCTTTCTTCAACATAATTGTTCCCACAGCTTCCGATTCCTCTCTCCTCATAACACGACCAAACCATTTAAGCCTATTTTTTCTCATCTTATTCACAATTGACGCTTCAAAACCGAGTCACTACTACCTGTCATAGGACCGCTTTAGTATAAGCGCCGAACACAGGCTTACCGTACATACCACGCGCGACCATTTAGATCGAGTTAACTGGTGGTGCGCCAGAGGCGAACATTAACCAACATTAACATTAACATCTCAAGTAACATTAAAAATTCAGTTAAAAATTGATTTGACCCCTGTTCTGATCACTCTCCGATCTTCTCACCTTAAATACCAGTCCTCCAATCCGCACCAACTCGTTAACTTTAACAAATAAAAACACGTGCTGGGAAACATTCAGAAACATCATTGATACGAATTTAACTTTAAATATTTAACTTAAAAACTCTGATATTGAAAACGCAACCAATAGCTTAACATCCTTAATACAAACTGCTGCCAGAAAATCTACTCCTATTTTAAATAAAACTATCCCATTGAATTCCACACCACTTCCGTTGTATGCCCGTGACCTTATTGCTCTTTAAAGAAGAGCCAGAGCTGTGTGGAAGAGAACTAGACTTCTTTCTGACAAATACACATACAATTATTTAACTCTAAAAGTTAAAAAAATGCTTTCCGAAATTCGTAAGGAATAAAGTTAAAGTTTATCTTGGTCTTATCTTCGACTGTAAATTTAACTGGTCGCTACACATTTATGCAAAAATAATAAGTGTAAACTAACAGCTTAGAATACTCCCACCATTACTCAACAAAAATGCCAAAACTAACTTGTACACTAAACTCATAATATATAAACGCTTTATCAAACCAATGTGGTCGTACGGTATTGAGCTATGGGGTGCACCAAAAAATCAAATATTAACAAAATTCAAGTTTTACAATCCAAATGCCTTAGTCGAATTCTTAACACTCCATCCTATATATCAAACGAAACAATTCATAATGACCTCCACATTACTACTGTAAAACAAACTGCTATCTCTTGTTATAAACATTTTCACAACCGTCTCCAAAATTATCCAAATCCTCTTATTAAAAATCTATCCTCACTCTTTATCCCAGATAACCCTCCCTGCCGACTTAAAAGATTTTGGTGTAGATACCCCACTCAGTTATAAATGTTATTAAATTTGTAATAGGCTTCACCCTTAATTATGTAATATAAAAGTTGTATTAAGCTAATGTTAGTAGGAGTCCCATCATGGGATGGACTCTCCGCAACACTTTCGAAACTTTTTTTTTTTGTATATATTGTTTAGTGCTTCACTTATTGATTTAAAATAAATAAAAACACTAATTTATATAACAGAAAAAATGTAGACGGTTTATTGTTTAAACACTAAGAAAATTTATATAAAAATTATATTAATGCACTACGTGTACTTAACTACTTAACCTATTAACTAACGACTGGCTAACTAACTGATTGACGTTATTGTTACGTCGCGCCGTTTTATATTGTGTTGAGTTCTAGAAGATTCTCTTACGGAGCGACCGAGAACATTCGCGCGTATATACATTTTGTGTTGCCTATCCGTCGCGAACATTCTCGATCATTCCATAGTCATTACATATTGCTTTATTATAAATACTTATTATATGTTATATACAGATTATATTTTTTTTAAATAAAAAAAAAAAAAATTATATACAAATTAACATAAGTTCACGACAGTAAATTACAATTTCTATTTCATAACTGAAACAATAATTAACTGACAAAGGTCAGAATAATTGAATTAAGAAATTTAACTTTCTTATATTTTTTCATAAATCCATACTTACAATTTTAATATTTGTTTACTACATAGGTACCGAAATATACAACTACTTCATATTTTTTTATAATTTCTCCGGAAAATTACAATACTATATTATTGAATATCAATTGCATATAAAATGTATTTACTACAATAAGTATTTATACATGTATTATATTTATATATCATAAGACTATATCGTAATCAGGATATAATTAAAGAAATAATAAGTGATGTTGCTTTTGGAATAAACCAACGTTTCCTTTAAAAAATTAAACACTATCTATAGATTTTTATTGAAACGTTTTTTATGATTTTAATCACTGTCAGATATCATCTATACTTGTTTCAATTCTACCGCATAGCCAGTGTAGCGGGATCCCACTATGTTGTTTTTTTTAACGTTATATTATGTTAAACGATAAAAATCATTTTAACGTTATGTTAAGTACAAGTTGATAAATAATGTTGTAATGTTTTTTATGTGTAACGGTATTTTCCGTTTTTCATTTTTAACGTTATTATAACGTATTTTATACTTAGATGTTTATATGATTATATGTTAATTACATAAACAATACACTATTATGATATTTATAACTCATTTACTGATTGCAATAATAAAATAAAATACATAATATGTATTATATTATAATGTGTACATATCAAGTAATCATGCATCAATGAAATTTTGTTGACTTTTAAGAATGTTCTTCTAATAAAAAGTGTGCAACTATAGAATTAAATTCTTCTGCTTCTTGCAAATCATGTGTACCGTTTTTAATTACTTCTGTTCTGTAAAAAAAAAATAGAAAATACTAAAACTATCATTCAAAATCCAAAAAACTTATAGCCGGTGTTATACGACACTATAAATAATTACTACAGATCTAAATAATAGTTAAATAAAACTCACCTTCCTTTAACATTCTTAGCGATATAGACTGCATGTTCCATAGACACGTGATCATCACTGGAACCGTGCAATACAAGAGTAGATGCTTCAATAAAATTTAACTTATCTTTGAAAAATTCTTCTCCGAATTCGTTTTTCAATCTTAACAAACCGTCGGCATACTTATTAGCTACTTCTTCAATGTATGTTTCTTCGTAAATTTGTTTCATCACTTTGAGTACATCTTGTGTCCAGTTTTGAGGATCTCGTAATTTATCTGCTTTTGTCAAAACTTCTTCTGTTATTTTTGCTTTGCCGCCCCATACGACAACTTTTTTGATTTTCTTGATATCTTTAGCAGCAACGTACAGAGCTACGTTAGCGCCGTAACCAAATCCCATTAATAAGTACTCTCCGATATTTAAAGCCTATAGATAAAAAACACGATAAAAATATTAATGCAGCTAATTGGAGGAATTGGAAATATTTGAAATTGAATTTTTATAATCGACTATACCGTATAACTTATAATAAAGAGTTAATTTTTTTTTTTTGTGATATTTACTTCCATGAATTTGACTACTATATCTGCGTCTGTCTCGTAGAAATTTGAACTATAGTCTCTTTTTCGAGGTAAGCTATCTCCGAAACCAGGTAAATCCATTTGAATAATGGTGTTTTCCTTTCCGAAAAAATTCAGCTGCGAATCCAAATGAGCCATTTGTATACAACCTGTAAAAGTAAATATTTCTTTATTTAATAAACATTCGACTACAGTTGAAAACGTTCTATTAGACAATACATAGAGTTCCTGTCAACAAAAGAATTGTTTTTCCTGAACTGCCGTATTTGATATAGTTGATAGTAAGTTCCGTTTCTGGAATTTTGATTTTCTCCTAGAATAAAACATAAAACATTATTAATAAAAGACGATTTTCGATATTGAACATTACTTTCTAAAAACATGTAGTTATTTCTTTTATTATAATGTTACAGAATATTTCACACTTACGGAAGCTATTATTGACAAAAGCATCAGATAGATAGTAACAGTAATTTTTGAAAACATCTTGGAATAGTTGAAATTTAAAGAAAAAAACCAATTCTTAAGCAAATCAACTAATAAGATAGTTGTTCTTATTGTGACGATTTGAACGCTCAATCCCGTTGTGTTTATAGGAATTTGAAAAAAACAACAACTTTAAAAATAAACGTCAAAAACAATATTTTTAACACATAATATGTTTTTGGCGCTTTATAGTTAAACATTAATATAAATTTTGTTGTTCTTATTTCAGAATTAAGACAGCATTTTATTCAAAATTAGAGTGATTTATATATGTATGATGTATTTTTGGTACATTTGAAAAATTATTATGTTGTATTCTATTAATTTTTTGACTATACACACCTTTGATTATTTAATGTATATTTTTTTTTATTCATTAAATCATGTTTAAAAAAAGTTTCAAATTTTCAAAATAACTATGAAAATAACATTGATAAACTATTATTTTACTTATTTAGAAAAATAACAGTTTTTATAATATCTAATTTCTTTATCGAAAATGTTACATTTAGAAGGATTATAATCAATAAAACAAAGGACATAAAAATTTATATGTATTATATTCTATTTTAATATAAAAAATTGTTTAACCCTTCCAAAAAATAAATCATATACGCGCCTGCTACATCCATGATTACAATACATAATATCAATCAATATAACTTTATTATTAATCGTATTAACTATTTGGAATAAGCTTAAATTTTTTGGGATTATGGTGGTTAATCGTTCTTCAATAAAAAATAGTTATACGTACTATATAATCCTACGACAAAGTTGTACAAAATTTCATAGTGGTTTAAACAAAATTTATATATGCATATAATTCACAGCTCTGATAATATTAACAATCAATAATATTCTCTAAGCAACTTTTTTACGGATCATTCCTAACTGATATTTATGTTTAATGACCTCTTGAATCCGAATATGGCTTCCATTTCCCCATTACCCATCATTTTTCGTGAACGACATAATTTTTCAAAATACCAGAGGCAACAATAAGCTAATGCACAAATTATTTTTATGGTAGTTATCAAAAATTTTTCCAAACAGGTCGTTCAACAAGGTATAATTGTAAATTTTCGTGATTATAAGAGTATGTGTCTTTTAATAAACATGAATTATTAAAAATAAGATATCTGTATGATGGATAAAATCGAGTTGTACCTGTGACAAATGACGAGTACTGTATGCTAAACAGCAAATTATCAATACAAAATTGGTAAAAAATCGCTAAACTTTAACAAACAATAATAGAAGAGGGATATATATAAGGGTTATAGGTTATAATATATATTAAATATAGTTTTAATTTTAAATAATAAAAGAAAGTTTATTGTACAAAAATAATGTTAAAAACAACGTTTTTTGAAAATGTTTTTTCTATCATATCATCAAACTAAAAATAGAAGTTCTCATTAAAGTTTAGGTTTTTTAACTCTGAAGGGGTGAAAATAAATTATTTAACTACAATATTATTATGGCGATTTTTAAAACAAACAACTTGTTCCTTTATAGAAATTTAAAATGTTCATTCGTTTTCAAGAAAATAAGTGTTTTATTCTAAATGAATCAATTTGTAAATGAGCTTAGCAACAATAACACATGATTTAAAAATTCTTAAGTATCATATTTAGTTAACACGAATTATATTATATAATATAATACAAATGATTGTAATATAATTGTATTTTATGTAGTAATTTTTAGGGTTGATATGATATCAATTGACTGGTTAAAATAAAAAAAATTAGTATTTAAATTTAAATTTATTGCAAATTTTGTCGTTATTTTATGAAAGTTTTATCATCAAATGTATACTCTTTATTAATCTTTTTTACTAATAAAAAGCTATAATGCTTATATATTTAGGGTCCTTAGACTCCCCTCTAGTATAAATATAACCTCACCTCTGAAAAAATGTTCAAACTATCTTCATGCATCGTAGCGTTATATGATATTGATTTTAGCTATGTTAGATTTAAATCTTTTCTAGTTTCAATTATGCTAGGTCCCGACTGTACTAGAATAATTTTTAAATTATTTTCTAGTTATAATTATACTGTTTTATTAGTATAAACATTAAATATTTTATAGTAAAGCCTTAATTTTTAATAATATTATGACATGAAAGTTAAAATTGTTAGTGATATAGTTATGCAAAAATTAGGATCTATAAGTATCAAAGATATATTTAATAATTTAAGTTTGGGAGTCGGGTGCTCATGAAAAGGTTTAATCATTTACCCCGTCCTGTCCTAGTGGATAAAAAAAAAATGAATATAATATTCATATTTTTTATTTGAGAATTTTTACGACAAAAGTCCCATGTAATTTGTTTTGTTTTTGTATTATAAATAACTTAAAAAATGTATCCACATTAATAAATAATGAAGTCATTTTTTTTTATATTTATTAAGTACTATACGTATGTATTATTTTAAATGATTAATGCTTTTTATATTCATAAAAATATATATTAATGTTNTTATGATAGTGATTTTAATCACTGTCAGATATCATCTATACTTGTCCCATTTATGCCTCGTCCACACTGTGCCTCGACCCCACTGTGCTACCGTTTTTTTTTTTATATTACATTCAACTAAATCATCAAAAAATATTGTATTATGTTCATCTAATTTTTGTGTGGTTTATAGATAGCTTCAGAATAAATTTTAATTGTATGATATTTATTGATTATTTTTATTTTTAACGGAAAATAATTTAGTTAAAATGTTTTTTTGGTGTAAATTATATATGCAAAACGGTTAGGATCCAACATAACGGAGTTGAGACATTTATTTAGATTAATATTAGTTAATATCCCACAAAAATTAAAGTTACCGTTGTAAAACGCTTCGATGTTTATTTGAAACAAAATAGAAATAAAATTTATCATATTTACAAAAAATTTATATAATTATCGACTTTAGAAAATTAATAAAAAACAAATCGTCGGAACGACTTCCTCTTTTTAATCATATAGTAGGGACGCGATGTAATAAGGACAAATATAGATCTCATCATTTTCATAATAAAATGCTCCAAAGCAAATTTGTATAATTTTTTAGCTTCGATGCGAAGCTGAGAAGGTATTGGTTTTACTATGATGTGTTTTTTTTTTTTTTTTTT